GATGATGGATGGATGGATGGATGATGGATGGATAGATGATGGATGGATGGATAGAGGATGGATGGATGGATGGATGATGGATGGATAGATGATGGATGATGGATGGATAGATGATGGATGGATGGATGGATGATGGATGGATAGATGATGGATGATGGATGGATGGATGGATGGATGGATAGAGGATGGATGGATGAATGGATGATGGATGGATGATGGATGGATGATGGATGTATGGATGAATGATGGATGGATGGATGATGGATGGATGATGGATGGATGGATGGATGATGGATGGATGGATGGATGGATAGAGGATGGATGGATGAATGGATGATGGATGGATGATGGATGGAAGATGGATGATGGATGGATGGATGGATGGATGGATGATGGATGGATGGATGGATGATGGATGATGGATGGATGGATGGATGGATGGATGGATGGATAGAGGATGGATGGATGATGGATGATGGATGGATGGATGGATGGATGGATGGATGGATAGAGGATGGATGGATGATGGATGGATGGTCACTTTGCTGCTAAATAACTTCCTTTTCCTCTTCCTGTCAGTATTTTTTAACAAAATAAAAGCACAATGAAAGTTTCAGGTGTCAGACCTGTTTTAAAGTTCTGGTTCTGTTGGTCTGGTCTGGTCTGGTCTGGTCCGCAGCAGGTGGCCCACAGCACCTGCGGTGATGGCGAGTACAACCTGCGCAGCCGGACCGTGGTCTGTGGTTCTTGTGGACTTCCTTCGGACAAGTCCAGCAGCTGCTCCGTGTCCTCGGCGTCCCGCTCGTTTCGCTGCGGGGGGGTCTCCGAGGGTCTGGTTCCACAGTCATATGTGTTCAGCACCAGCACGCCCCGCAAGGTGGGTCCAACAGAACACAGGTGTGGAGGGACTAAAGTCTAGTCCCTACAGTCCTGATCCAGTCCTCAGTTCAGACCCGTCATGGATCAGCAGTTCTGACTCTTTGAACTTTAATGAAATAAAACGTCAGAAAAATCAAACTTTTATTTTCCTGGAGGTCTTCTCTCTCATTGTTAAATATATTTCACTGTCAGTTAAACATTTTCTAAATTAGTTTCTGATTTGTTGATTTTTTTCTTTTCAGACTGGATCCAGGATGGAGAGCTGTCCAATCATGTGAACTGAGTTTCAAAATAAAAGCTTTTTATAAAGTTTAGCTAATATTAGCTGATTATGAAGTAGTTTTTAGTAGAATCAGTACATATAGGATGAATCATATTAGTTTTGCATGCTTACAAAACAAGTTTTGGATTTAAATATTGATTAAAACATTTTTTTAATTATATTTTTCTGTTGTGTTTTSTAACCTGAAAGAGGCAAAATGTTGTTTTATCACTTTATTAAACCAAAGTTTGATGGGRAAATGTTTATGAAAAATGTCCCCTGATACTTTTTACTGTCTTTCCTACAAATATTCAGAATATTTTGTACTTTTGCTGATATTAATAAACATTTTTCAGAAACTGTCTTTGTCTTATTTAAATGTTTTACTGTGCAGTAAAGGTGAAAAATTACCTGTTTTATTTCTATGACTTTGACTTTTCTGACCTGGTTTTAGAAATAATTGAAGTTTTATATTTCAGAGATTTTATCCACATGTTCAAAAGAATTTAATTTAAGGTGCCCTTTTCATTTTCTGGAAAACCTTTTACTTTGAAATTAAGACACGTGTTGTTCCGTTGTTTTAACCCGGAAGTAGTTGTTGCAGTTAGCATGCTGCTAGCTACTGATTTTGACGTCTTTAAACCTTAAATCACTTCTTTTCGATCACATTGTTGTGTTAAAAACACAGCTCAGCTCCGGATGGTAAATTTTAAGGAAACTTAAAGTATTTGGTAAGTTTTACTCATAATTTTATCTTAAATTAAGTAATTCAGCAGCTAAATGCTAACGGAACATAGCCTGTAAAGTTAGCAGCTCAACAAACAGTTTAACCCTTAAATAAGTTAAATTAAAGTTTATTTATGTTTGTTTTTAGTTCTTTGTCATGTTCTGCAGCTGCTGCAGTTTAACTTTGACTTTTATTTTCAGTTTAGTTTGTAAAACCTGGAACAAATAGTTTCATATAATTCACAAAATAAACAGATTTTATTTTAGCAAGTTTAAAAGAAGAAAATGTTTATCAGGTTCTGAATATAAACTAATTAGGAACTGTTTTATTTTTTTACTTTTTTGTTTGTTTGCTTTAATTCTTAATTTTTTAACATTAGATTGAACTTATGTTTTGTCTCCTGGCTGCAGCTGTCAGCTCAGAGCTTCAAAAGCTAAAAACATATTTTTGTAGTTGGACTGGTTCTTCAGCACCTCACAGACTCTGGTCTCCTCAGGTCCTGGTCTCCTCAGGTTCTGGTCCGTCTGATGCTGAACGTCGGCGCTCTCCTGGGGATCGGTCTCCTGGTGACGTCTCGGGCCGCAGCCTCTTTCTCTCAGACGGGGACATGTCTGCTGTCGGCCGCCGCTAAACGCCACCATCAGAACTGTCCCAGCAGCAGGTCTGCGTCCACCATGGCCCAGACCCTGAAATACCTCGGGTGAGATTCTGACCGGTTCTGTGATTCTGACCCGGTCTGTGGTTCTGACCCGGTCTGTGGTTCTGACCCGGTCCGTGACCTCACGAGTGTTTCTGGACTCCTCGCAGGCAGGAGGAGGCGCAGAAGATCGACGAGGAGCTCTTCAGCGACTACGGCTTCAGCGTGGACCAGCTGATGGAGCTGGCCGGACTCAGCTGTGCCACAGCGGTGACCCGGGTCAGCCCGGACCCGTTCCACAACACACGTCCAAATAAAACAGCAAAATAAGAGTTTTTAAACAAACAGGAAGTGGTTTTTACCTCGGTGTGCTTCCTGCAGGCGTACCCGCTCACAGCTCTGGTCCGGTCCAGACCGTCTCTGCTGGTCATCTGTGGACCGGGGAACAACGGGGGCGACGGGCTGGTCTGTGCTCGGCACCTCAGGCTCTTTGTGAGTCCAGTTCAGTTTTAGTGAAGCTTTTATTTTTACGAGGAAGCTGTTTTTCTCACTTCCTGTCTGTGTGACGCAGGGTTACGAGCCCACCATCCTGTACCCCAARAGACCCAACAAGGTTCTGTTCCAGGGTCTGACCACACAGTGTGAGAAGATGGACATCCCCTTCCTGACCCAGATGCCTGAGGTCTGACCTGCTGCAGGTCCACCACACCTGCTTCACTTCATCACATACAGAACCGTTTTCACAGGAAGTGACTGAAGAGTTTGTTTGTTTGTTTGTTTGTTTGTTTGTTTGTTTGTTTGTGACAGGCTGAAGTCATCGATGAAGCCTATAATCTGGTGATCGACGCCATCTTTGGCTTCAGCTTCAAAGGTTCTGTTCGAGAACCGTTTGGGTCCATCCTGGACGAGCTGAAGAAGAGCACGGTCCCGATCGCCAGCATCGACATCCCCTCAGGTCAGAAACCCTCCAAAATAAAACGACTGAAGTCCAACAGAATAAATCTGCTTCCTGTTTTAAAGACCAGTTTAACAAAATAAAACTACTTCCTGTTTTGTTTAAAATTAACAAAATAAAAGTACTTCCTGTCTGTTTTGTTCAGCTCAGCCTTTAACTCAGGAAGTTTTACAGAAACAGGTTAAAAATGTAAATTTGAGCCAAAAATGATCAAAAACTTTAAAATTAATGAGAAAAACAAATAATTTTACATTTAATCCAATCATATAAAAACTGATCAGCTAAACAGCAGCTAAAATCTAACAGCTGCAACAG